GGTGAATCTCCTGTAAAGAAAATATACTGGTATGGTAATGAGTGTACCTCTCGAAAACAGTCCAATTTGGGTTCAAGTAGAACATAAGGTTGAAGGAAACTCGGGGACTGCGCCTACCTGATGAGCCCCAGGACGGACGAAACCGGTCGTGGGCTGGAGTTTTCATTTTGGTTTTCCTTTAGTTTCTTTCATGAAAATATACCGCGATATCGCGAATATCGTACCAACTGAAAGATGAGGCGGCCTGTGTGTAGCACATTCAGTTGTAGGACATCATAAATGAGAGATTCAGTTGAGCCTCTTGTGAAAATCAAATTGATTTCCAATTTGCAGAAACTTGAGAACTGTTCCCATGTACTGCACCGGTCATGGACAGCCGAAGAGCTTTCAAAAACCTTATAAGTAGTGCATCACGTATATCCATATATCGCGATATATGGAATGTGGTTCCACTGGTCCTGCATATTCAATTGTCCAAGACCATCATACACGAGACTTTCCAGAAGAGTCTCCTGTCAAAACCAAATCGGTATGCAAATGTGCGCAATTTGCTCATCCTGAATATTGTTGCACCTTTGTGTTCTGAGGGGGTAGAAACGATTTCTAAGGCAATTTTTTTAGATTTTCGCTCAGTTTTATAATCGAGACGGCGTAGTTTACCGGATAACTTATCATTGCCACTTTGAGCAAACGCAAAATCAAGGGTTTTGCACCAATTTCAGAAGGGGGTCGGCACAGGTTTCCTCAACTCAAAAATGAAGAAAAGCGGGTTTCTGCATGCGAAAACTTAATTGTATTAACGGTTGAAACAGATTTTATCGAACATGATAAATGTTCATTGGACTACGCAAAACTCATTTTAGTTTGGGATTCAAAGAACAGGGGACTAGATAACTAAATTTTCGATGCAGCTATTCAATAAGCCAAATTCATATACTCTTCGTTTCAAAATGTGAAGGGCTAATTAAATTAAAAAATCAGTAAATCACAGTTACAATGAGCAGAGAAAATGTCTCATATAGAGTGGCCCGGGTACCAAAATCACGGTTGTCCAATGATCACTCTCTGTTCACGTTGAGCGCCGCGCCGTAAAAATTTTGCTTGGTTAAACGATAATCACTTCAAAATTCCCAACACACTCAAAGCGAGAATCGCTCACCGAAGTGGCGCGCGAAATCAATAACCCCAATAGGATGGGTCATATGTTCTCTTTACAACTGTTCCGAGTGTGGCCGAGTCACGTAATCCGTAGTGAAGAATTTCAAAACTGCCCACAGTGAATGGTTGTTTTATCGAATAAGATTACCGCTGGTGAATTGTACTCACACTCAGGGTTCTTTTCAAATGGCTTATACCAAATGTGTGATCATATCGCCTCTTACACGACTAAACTACAAAAAGTGTGGTACCCCATAAAAAATCATGGAAAACTGAGTGACGCTCACAAAGTGGAATGGTTGCGACCGATTGAAGCGTGATTAAGTACGTCATTCAACAGCCAGAGAAATACCTAATTGCCCAGCAATAGTCTCTCATTCTTCCTTATAGGTAGATAAATTTGACGACAGTACGAGTACTTGTAGGGAAGGAGCGATGCTGGTAACCATGGAAATGATGAGAAGAGTGTGTGTGTGTGTGTGAACTTACTAAATACATGATGATGTAGTGAGCGGTGGTCGTGAATTCCCACAATATTCATTATGGCGGGAAGTTCTGAGTAAAATGCTTTATCAACAGCCTGCCCGATTGAAGAAGTGTAAGCAAAATGATGGAGGAACCCTGTACACAATACATGTTCAAGAATAGACCCGTTTTCATATCAACTTGATTTTTACGTGGACTAAAATAACTACCTTGTTTATGATATGCTCTCATGTTTGAGTTGGTACAACGTTCGAGATATCGCAGTTTAAGTTTGTGAAGGAAACCACACAAACGTTTTCTGAAAACTCTTGGACAACTTTGCTCTTTTTAGGACCAATCAAATAGGTTTGGTCGCGTCAACCTTATGTTCTACTTGAACCCAAATTGGACAGGTTTCGACAAACACACTCGTTCCCATTTCAATTTGGTTTTCACGGGAAACTTAATTGAGTCTATGGCCCGAAAAAGTGTGAAGTCGGTTGTCGGCTGTGGCAGTTGAGATATTGATTACAAGTGAATACGTTTCACTGCGTTCTGCGTTGCGTTTCTGTGCCCCATGTGTAATCGATTGTTTTGTGCGCGTCCAGGTGGTCACACACTGAGGTCAACTTGTGGGTCCCAAAGGTGTGGGCCTGGTTTCTGAAAATGTGGGACCAGTCCAAAGCCACATGCCTCATTAGCGTCAAAGAGGGAAAGGAAGTTCCGTCCGAGTGGCATTTAGATACAGGTAAACAAACGAATAGGTGTGCCAGAAACGGAACCAGAAACTCCCGAACCAGCCGCGCGGACGATATCGCAGTATCTAAGTCAGCAAGAAAGTGTACTGAGGAGTAGAGTTTCTATGTCACAAATGAGTGACTGAATGACTCTTTCGGATTGTGGAAACATGTTTTAAACTGACAGTACTCTCTTACTCCTTTGTGAAAAACGGACGTAAGGACCTTCGAACAGTGGTTATCGGCGAAATCTCGGTTGCCGAGTATAGTGACAAATATAAAAATAAAACAGGACAGGCAGAAATACAGACATGGCGTCCAAAGGTGCAACGATTCTATTTCAGTTATGCCAGTTAATTGGACTGTTCACGGACGATTTACAGTGCACGCATACTGGTGCTGCGCGGAAACGTCATCGGTTTTCACATAACTCATCTGCGACATTCGAAACGACGGTCAGACTTTGTGAGCACCAGTCAATAACGACCAGCTGACCGAAGCATTAACCCGAAAGGACCCTGACCACCCATACTATTCCTCAAATTTTGGGGTTTTCCAGGATAGGTATTTTCGTTCATAGCCACACCACTCTCATTTGAATAGTCGTGTTCTCCTGTTCTGGCATATTTATTCCGGTTAGTCCACACCAAAGGGAAGCACTGGACTCGAGTTTCGCCCTTATTAGAGCTCATCAGTAGTGCATATCCAATGTCGGTGCCGGGATTCGAACCTCGGATATCTGACATGCGAGGCGAGTGTGCAAACACTACTCCACCAACGCACGTTGGACGCATCTGAATTTCACGTCTGAACACGTTCAAATCCCCGCACTGAGACTGGATATGCACTGCTGACGAGGTCTAATAAGAGCGAAACTCGAGTCCGGTGCTTCTCTTTGGTGTGGACTTACCGGAATAATTGAACTTGGCTGCTTGACCAAAGTAGATGACTGACATAGTTTATTGGCGTTCAGTTCAGACGCTGCTAGCGTCTTTTGACTTTTGCCTTCGGAGAATTGCGGTGATGTTTGATGGTTTAACTTGGTTGATGCAGATTCGTGAATCGGTGTCTTAACCCCAGAAGTCGACATTGAGTGAGTGTCCCGCACTGAGTGGAATCTTAAACTGCAAGAAGAAAAGAAAACTTGCGATCCTTTGGAAAACTATCAACGGTAGTTTGACAGAGATAGGCGGTTTTGAGACTGCCATCTCATTCTTTCTAGCCAACTGTAGATGTAACCACTGGAAGATTCCCGCACCTTCCAGGGAGGTAAAACTAAATTCTGACCCAAAGTGTTTTTTTTTGGAGGGAGGGACGTATTCTGGTAGACTGTCGTTACTCTTGAGAAGGAACTCCGAATATCTGGAAGGATGCCTCGTCATTGAAGGATGCCTCATGAATGTCAACATAAAACTTCAACGTTTATTCACTAGAGTGCTTGAGTTGTCTGTAAAACGGACGCTTTCCGATTCATGTCGTAGCTTCTCACCTGGCTGGCAGATGCGCACCAGAATATGTGGCTGCATCTGACACGTAGGAAGCATTCCAAGATTCCGAACTTCAGATGCCGTCCGTAACCAAGTACTCCATCCAGTGTCTGTACATTGCAAGATCTGTTTGGTTGACTGGACGTTTTCCATAAAGTGGATTTGGAGTTGAGATTAAATGACCGCAGCTGCCTTCGGGGTGACTTGCATTGCCCGAACACTAGTTCATGTTCCACTGATGCGCCGTTCAAAGATGATAGATCTCAGTGTGTCCCATTCTGGACGCAACCTTCTTAGGGGATAGTAGGGTGTCATCATCCAATCCGTGGATAGAACTCTATTGGAGACGGGCTCATAACACCACCCAAAAGACCTTTAAATGGGCAAAATACATTCATTTGCATACCGAGTTGGTTTTTGCAGAATACCCACTTGAAACTTAGCTGAATTTCTCGCTAGTGGTGAGATTAGGCTGGGTTCCATGTGAACCTCCCGTTAAAACCGAATTGGTATATAACTGATTGTATTTCGAATTTGGGTTCGAGTAGAACATGCAGTTGGCAGAGACTCGGGGACTGCACTTATCTGATGAGCCCCAAGAAGGACAAAACCGGTTGTGGGATTTCCAAAGGTTTGCATTGACCCGCACCTGTGTAATGGCCCTGGACAAATTGTCGTGGGCTTCAGGTCCGATAGTTTCAAAGTGCGCGTTGTTTGAGCCGAGGGCGTCCAGTGACCACGGAGATGCTAAAGAAAACCTGCTCGCTGTTATCTATGGTAGGTTGTGTGTATATGAAGTAAGCTGGATTTCACCCAAATTATCGTGAAGGTACTCTCGGAGTTTATATTTTTGCAATGTACTACTCACAAGGTTGCTGAAATCTCTTAGAAGGCCCATGACCGGTTTCGCCCTTATTGAGGATCGTCGGGTAGCCGTAGTCTTCGAGTTTCCGTTAACCTTATGTTCTACTTGAAACCAAATTACACGAAATTCGCGAATATATACTCATTTGCAAACTTATTTGGTTTAGCGAGAGATTCACCTGAAAACCCAGCTGAATCTCTCGTTTGTGATGTTTCCAGGCAGCTGAATGTGCTGCATCAGGACGCCCCATGTTTCATTCGCTAAGATATTCGAGATATCGCGATACATTTATATATTTGTAATGTAGAACATAAAATTGACGGGAACCAGGGGACTGCGCCTACCTGATGAGCCCCAGAAATGGCGAAACCATTCGTGGCTGTCGACGGATTTTCTGCAACCTTAAGAGTAGTACATTACAAATATACATGTATCGCGATATATCGAATATAGCAGCGAATGAAATATAAGACAGCCTGGTGCAGCACATTCAGTTGGCTGAGAACATCATAAACGAGAGATTCAGCCGGGCTCCAGTTGAGCCTCTCCAAAAAAACAAATTAGTTTGCAAATGAGTGTAGACTCGCTGCTATCAGATTTTATTGAAAGACCAATGATCCCTTGGGAATTTCCATATGATAGAACGCAACGAATTGTATTTGTATACTGGTCAGTGTCAGGCGGTTTTCTTGCTGGTTGCTGCAATTGGTGATCACTTTGTCAACTCGCAACCTGAGGATGTTTGAAACGCCGGAAGTTCACTCTACACCTTCATAGCGTTTCTGACGTGGCCTCGTTTCTAATGTGGCCGTGTGGGATCCCATTTGTACACGAGATGCAAAAATTTCCTACGTGGCATTCTGTCGTCCCATAAATCAAACACTGTCGGGTAAATTCCGATCAATTGATTGCTTTGACGCTGCGTTGACAGTTGTGGTTATTCCAACAGCTTGTTGGTCGGCTGCAAGATGTGGATGCTTTCTCAAGCAAGAAGGTGCACCTCACGTGAAACTGATGTGGTAAAGTTGGGTTTCTACCCAAATCTGGATTCACGGCAATTTGTAAAATGTGTCTACTGAGTAATGAAATAAGCATCATTCCTTGGTTCCGTGAAATCTATACGATATAACGTAAAGTATATATATATTTTTTTACAGACGTAAAGTCTCAGAACAGAGGACAGCCGGTGCTCTAATGGCGACGGCCTCTACGCGGCCATCGTCTATGCGCGCGGCGCAAGTCACGTGAAACGGGACTGACTAATCCGCGAGTCAAGACAGGGATCACGTGCATTTGTGATGACTGCTTTGGAGGAAAACACCTCGCATTCTCCGATCTTGGGACGCCGTTAACTTTTTGACGTGGTGGTCATGTTATCCAACTGGATGATAATGGAGCATTAAAACAAACCGCACAGGCTGACGAGCATTTAACCTTTTGTTTGGGCTGAGTATCATTCAAGGTTAAATAATATTAAGGCACCAGTGTGATCCCGATTAGACTTCCACATCTTTATGAATTTCATGTATGGAAATCTATTGAGCTCGACATATTGATCGATAAATGCAGCAGATCAGTGAACGCATCAGGGGTGAGTAGTTTTCATCTCATGATCGATTGCAGAAATGGTAGAAAGGGCTCATATGCTATCTGGAAACAGTTTATTGCAAGACAGTGTAGACTGAAGGAGGTTGCAACCTTCCACGGGCTCTCTCATGTATTCGGTGTTTTACACAGTTGGTTGGCTGACTAAACTGATCGTTTGACCTTGTAACGCCAGACCGCAGGACCATTTAGAACGGTGCCTTTCACCGAGGATGACGTGCGATTTCGCTTTACCCAACTCAAATCAATACTCATTGTGGAAGCCGCCATCTTAAATTAAATTTAATGCCCAGCCAATGTAATAGACCGCGGCGCAGCTGGCGATTTCCGAGTGACTAAATGAGCCTATATGTCCCTCCGGCCGCAGTAACACTTGTCTGTTCTTGGGGAGCCTTTGAACGACGTATGGTAATTTATGGGACCATCATTAAAACGGATTATGCAATCGGATAGAAGCGGTTCGGCGGTATATCGAAACATTTTTTATCTTTTAGTTTATGTGTCGTTTAACGAAAGCCGTTTGATTCAAAATTTAAAAGTTCAACGCAAGCTTGTATGAGCAATACTCCGCCCCTCCAAATGAGCACCACTCACACTTATTCCACTATTCTGCGGTTGCTTTTTAAATTTTGAAAGTGTGAGTAAATCTCCTGACAATTGTGTGTCTCCTGGAATCAGAAATTCGCGTTCCGATGGCTCACCTTCATATAGCAGGAAATGTACATCGCCTGTGAAAGGGTCACATGATTTTTGTGAAAATATTACTTGCTAAACGAGAATGTCGGACGCGCAATTAGTCTCGCGACAGAGCTTGTTACATGTGGCAATCATTTACAAATTAACTCCACAGGCAAACGGAACATTTCAGTCAATTTCGAAATGGGATTTTGTCACGCTTTCATCAATAGCACTCGGGTTGGAACAATGGGGCGAATCATGAAGTTACAATACTTACTGCACTTTAACGATGAGGATTTCGGTTTACCTATGTGTGAGCAACACTCGTGAGGTAAACCTAATGTGTTCTAATGAGAAAATGATAGAAAGAAGTCACGTAAGTGACGATAGAACGACAAACCATCTGTGAGTCACTGCTGAAGTGCGAAACTGTTTACACACCGACAACGAGCTAAACGTTTGCAAGATATTAGAAACGAAAGTGGAAGCATCATTTGCGCAGTTTATTTCAAAATGATCATTTTGAAACCACATGGTCGTAAAATATTGAGTAACAACAAACAAGCGGTACAAAGCGATCCTAAACTATCCATACCAACCATCGATCAGGTGAGGGAGCGGCGTTTTGTAACCTGACCGGACACTACTCACAAGTTTCTTCATTAGCACTCATCCGTTACACCGGGAAAGAGCACAACTGACGTTGACGAAATTGGGCTCAAACGGGTTCCCGTTTACGTACAACTAAAGTACACTATGAGTTGTCTGCGGTTTGGAATTAGTGGACTTTTGACGGTGACTGTTTGACTTAAGCCAACTCCTGAAAGAGCTGGATAAAGAGCTTTTGGGGAATATGACATGAAATCAATATATGTGAATGAAGTAACTGATCCAACATCTTTGGAACCACACTCCTAAGCTGCCACGTCCATCGGATATGTTAGATTAGGGATAGGAATGGGCTTTCCGCTGCAGAAAAGAAGTGGACTATACTTTAGTGATCATATCGAACGTTGATTTGCTTTCAACAACGTGAAAGCCGAGTAAAATGAGACGTGATATCCAGGTTACGAGTAGCAAAAGTGTTATGCTTACACTGTGGTCAAAATTTGCTCACACAAGTGCTTAATGATTTAAATTCAGATGTCACATAAAACCACTTTCAGACACAGACGTAATACACTACTCCCAAGGTTACTGAAATTTCCTGGACAGTCCATGACCGGTTTCGCCTTTCTTTGGACTCGCCAGGTGAGCATAGTCTGGGTTCTACCAGAACCCAAGTTGCACGAAACTAGCGAACTACACTCATTTGCAACAACTTTGGTTTTGCGAAAGACTCACCGTGAACCCAGTATAATTTCACAAACGTCAGTGGGCACAAAGTAACGAACTTGAAGTTAGTTGCTTTCCGAACTTGACCCAGTCACCACTGGTTGGCAGAAGGCTGACAGATGGCGTTGAATGGCAAAATAATCTAGCTTGCTTTAAATGCCGGCATATTTCATAGTTTACTTGAGATATCGCTCTATATTCTACTCGCATACGTCTAATCTCTTAGTAGCCGGGATTTGTACAACCTCTGACTGTGGTTTGGCAACACACAACTTTTCAGGGTTCTAATAGCCTTTGGTAATTTGAAACAAGCGAGGCGGAGAAGTAATACGTACACCGTGGATCGTGTTCTTGTGTGGCTGTGAGATGTGCTTTCGGCGAGCGTTGCAATGTCAGACATTTGCCCCTGCCCTGCTTCAATCCACGAAGCCAGAAGAAAGTTCTTTAGAAACATGTACACAACATGTCACAAAGTAGTCCATATTTGGTGTACGGAGACTCTGCTCCATCATCCCGATTGGCGTTTGCGTTTCTGGATTACTGAAAACCTACTAGCGTACGTCATCGGGCCGAAAAAAAACGACATCCTAAGGGCAGTTGTCTCTAGTTGAAGGTGTGAGTTGTAGAGGCAAACACTTAATCTGTCGACTAGTTTTGTGGCCCATTCAGATAGTTTGAGGACACAAGATGCAGCGCCTTCTGATGCGTTCTTACGGCTTTGAATGAACAGTAAACTAACAACAAATGTGTCCAGCAAGCTTCAAGCGTATGTGGCGCTTCCCGTCTTGGAAGTTCTGACTGGCGGGCCGATCGATCGATACGACCAAGGACAGCAGAACGATTGTTCAGACAACAGTCACGTGAGTATGCAATTCTACAAAATCTAGCAACTAACAATCCCTGAGAGCCGCAATCGACTTTCATTATAAACGAATTGATGTACAGGTGTTTGGTCGGTGATCTGTTCGCCGAGAGTGGCGCCTGAGAATGTCTGTGATGCACTGATATTCAGAAACATTGAAACGTAGCGCAAAAGGTGAGGAACGAAATCACGCGAACTCTAAACTGCCTATAGCTTACTGTCTAGTAACATTAAAGTTGGTCCTTTGCTCTCTCCAAACCCTGTTGGTGCAAGTGGCACTGTGTTTCGGAAAGGATATCGACCGGTAATGGAAACGTCCTGGCTGACGAGCCTGATCACTACTCACTCTCAAATTTAGTTCAGTTTCACTCATTTCCCTAGTACACGCCTTCATTTCGGCCTATATCTGAACAATCACTCGCAACCGCAATTATTTGGTACGAGGAGGTTTTGCAGCCCCTAATTCGACAAAAATGTTGACCCAGTTATTGGCCGCAAGGTGATCGACAGATAAATCCACGGAGATGCTGACAAGCGTCGCCTGATGACATATTTGTCATTTGCCAGTACAGTGTGCTGTCAGCCACGACGATTCGGCTAACGATTATTAAGTGAGCAGCAAAAATGCTCAATTTGGTTCTCACGCAGCATTTGTCACGTGATGCGGACAGGTAGGAAAAAAACTTACGCAAACTGCTCACTCGCCCGTGAATCGACACAAGCTAATCAACACAGGTGCGTGCACCCGAATACGAGGAACTCATTCGTTGAGAAATTTGAAAGCAAATTTTCTGGAATAGTTTGCAGACACTAATTCATTGGTTGACTGATGTGAAGTGATTGCAACGTCATTCTACCCAATGAAAGGAAACTTACGCGTCCGATATTAAAAAATTCTATTAAAATGCGTACAAATGCAGTTATTTATGCCCAGACTGTCACTGAATCGCTGACGTCCCGCTGACACCGGAAAAATGTACTTAGAATTCGACATTATCTAATCTGAAGAGGACAAAGTTGATAGGTCAAACAGAATCGGTCACTGGCACTTGTTTTCATGAAATAAAGCTTTGGTGCACCTGAAACCGATTACGTGGGGAACAAAAAGACTGCTAATTCCATAGACTTTCTCACCAGGCTCACGATCAACTGGATTCAACTGTCTTCAAGAAATCTAATGCGATGGCTGCAAGGCGAATTACGCTGCTTGGTTCTTTCAGTGAATTTTATTCAACACCAATGGAGGGGGAATCTCGGCTGCTCTTTCAGATAACCGGAATGATGAAAGTGGGATATTCGCGAATATACACCCATTTGCAAACTAATTTGGTTTTTTCGAGAGACTCACCTGGAACACAGCTGAATCTCTCGTCTGTGATGTACTCTAATGCGTAGTACATTACAAAGATATACATGTATCGCGGTATCTCGAATGCCGTAGCGACTGAAACATGAGGCGGCCTGGTGCAGCACATTCAGTTGTCTGAGAACATCACAAACAAGGAGATTCAGCTGGGTTCCAGGTGACTCTCTCAAAAAACCAAATTAGTTTGGAAATGAGTGTATATTCGCCAATTTCATGCAATTTGGTTTCAAGTAGAACATAAGATTGACGGAAAACAGGGGACTGCGCCTACCTGATGAGCCCCAGAAACGATGAAACCGTTCGTGGGCTGTCGACGGATTTTCAGCAACCTTATGAGTAGTACATTGCAAACATACAAAGTGGGATATTGTTCCCACAAAGTCAACAGCCAGTTGAGGCTTGCAAGACAGACCTCTCTATTTTTACTCATTAGTAAAGTTGCGTTTCTTGTGGTCGTTATTCATCATGTATATTCATCATGAACCCGACAGATTGTATTTGTTAGCGTTTGATCGGCCAGGGAGACGAAACATTTAGGAAAACAAACAAACGAGGCTTCCTTTCTGCGGTGCATTCAAAGTTAACAAATCTCACGAACCAGAGATTGAAATGTGTCTGCCGACAACGCCGATGTAATCTCGCAAAGGATACCTGAAATTCTGAGGGCGGAAATCGAAGTGAGGTTGAAACGTCTTCAAGACCAACGGATAGCGGAATGCAGAAGGTGAACAAGCAACGTTCCGAGAATTCTGTACATATTAACCGTCTTCAATGACAAAAATGCAAGATACAGCGGTTAGTGTCCGAAACCCCTTCAGCTAACGGTCAGTGTATCACGTGATCGAGACTACTTATGGCGCTCATCAGTATAAATAGCTCTTTTGAGGGTTCTGCTGCACCCTGGATGCTATTCGGGTGAAGCTATCACGACGCAGTGTCGTCTGCTAACTAGACGCGATGAAAGGGCGAATGGGATTAATACAGCCTGTTGAAAGGTTTTAACGTAAAATACCCACAGGTAATTGTACCATGTCCGCTCAAATGATCACGCTATCTTTGTAGAAGAAGAATAATTCCTTAATCGGTTTTTTGCTGAACCACTTCCTAGCTAAGGGTTTTGCGCCAGCAAAAGAACGGGAGTCATTTTTGGTCCGTGGTTGCCTTGGTCCCCCGATCCACTCACCATGACAACAGTACTGACAATCGATTTTCCCGTCTTCTCCAACAACCACCTGGTCATTTGCGCAAGGGGGGAGATGAATCCCCTTACTATTCTTGGTGGTTTATGTAGTTCTGGCCTCCTGGACATTTACCAGAAGAAAAGCGATTGATTTGCAATGCCAATTTTGGATCTTCCCCCCTCCCACGACCATATTCACTGTTTTCCTGCCCAGCAATCGTCGACGGATTTTCAGCAACCTTATGAGTAGTACATTGCAAACATACAAAGTGGGATATTGTTCACACAAAGTCAACAGCCAGTTGAGGCTTGTAAGACAGACCTCTCCATTTTTACTCATTAGTAAAGTTGCGTTTCCTGTGGTCGTATATACATCATGAACCCAACAGATTGTATTTGTTAGCGTTTAATCGGCCAGGGAGACGAAACATTTAGGAAAACAAACAAACGAGGCTTCCTTTCTGCGGTGCATTCAAAGTTAATAAATCTCACGAACCAGAGATTGAAATGTGTCTGCCGACAGCGCCAATGTAATCTCGCAATGGAGTGTTGTTACAAATGATACCTGAATTTCCGAGGGCGGAAATCGAAGTGAGGTTGAAACGTCTTCAAGACCAACGGATAGCGGAATGCAGAAGGTGAACAAGCAACGTTCCGAGAATTCTGTACGTATTAACCGTCTTCAATGACAAAAATGCAAGATACAGCGGTTAGTGTCCGAAACCCCTTCAGCTAACGGTCAGTGTATCACGTGGTTGAGACTACTTATGGCACTTATCAGTATAAATAGTTCTTTTGAGGGTTCTGTTGCACCCTGGACGCTATTCCGGTGAAGCCATCACGACGCAGTGTCGTCTGCTAACTAGACGCGATGAAAGGGCGAATGGGATTAATACAGCCTGTTGAAAGGTTTTAACGTAAAATACCCACAGGTAATTGTACCATGTCCGCTCAAATGATCACGCTATCTTTGTAGAAGAAGAATAATTCCTTAATCGGTTTTTTGCTGAACCACTTCCTAGCTAAGGGTTTTTCGCCAGCAAAAGAACGGGAGTCATTTTTGGTCCGTGGTTGCCTTGGTCCCCCGATCCACTCACCATGACAACAGTACTGACAATCGATTTTCGCGTCTTCCCCAACAACCACCTGGTCATTTGCGCAAGGGGGGAGATGAATCCCCTTACTATTCTTGGTGGTTTATGTAGTTCTGGCCTCCTGGACATTTACCAGAAGAAAAGCGATTGATTTGCAATGCCAATTTTGGATCTTCCCCCCTCCCACGACCATATTCACTGTTTTCCTGCCCAGCAATCACAATACCAAGATATCGTTTGGCTCCTCTGTTTAAATTGACCGATCAAAACTCATTGTTGTATGCATTACCCCGATTGAATTCTGCTTAATCTAATCAGAGGATGCAATTCTGTACGACGAATTGCAAAGGTCCGTTGTCGAAGCACAAGGGGTTGGTTTACTCGCTTGGTTTATCTCCATAACTTGGCCGAATAGGGTCATAAACTCTGAGATAAAATTCAATAAGGTTTGGCCTTGAGACAAATTGATCTGGCTGGAGGGTGAGCGAATCTCAGTCTGAAATCTCATGATATGGATGAGAGATGTTCTTAATGCCAGGCTAGCGGGTTGATTCTCTCAGTCGAGATTTAGGAAAACGAGTCAGCCAGAGTGGTTGTCTTCGTTTTGAACGTGTAAGATCCCCACAAAAAAGCAGGTTGGCGGTTTGAATTGATAGATTAGATAGAATTTCGTTTTTTAAGATTGAAAATCTTGCGTCACGTGCGTCCTATCATGTTTCAGACAGTTATCCTCCAACCACTGTCATCAGGAACAGCGATTTTGTTCTCGCTCATAACAAAGCGCACGGGGAGTTGACATACAGCTGTGTGGCGAGCGATTTTTCAATTTTTCGCGAGAAAAGGAATCCCCAAAGTCAGCTTAGAAGTCCGAGCACATTCTCTGGTCAAGAGCGTGTTCACAAAACACCAATGAGTGAAATTCATTGTGGATGTTTGGCCAATTTAGTTTTTTCTCTCGCATTGCATTCCGGATTATTCTGGATTTGGAAATGAACATCAGTCGACTTCTACGAAGAGCTAGAAGGAAAAAATAGTTATCTAATTGTCGTGCTGAGGTTCGAACTCCGCATAGCTGACATGCGAGTTAAGTGTACTACACCACCCTACCAGCGCACTCTGGACAGATGAACAGGTTTGCGGTGGAGTGATGTGAGCGGAACGCCCGACCCCTCAAACCACGACCCTGACTTGGTTCTGTTGATCGATTGGCCTACCAGTCCGAACTTCCCAATCAGGTAGCTCCACAGGCGCTTGAAACCCGCTGGACAACTTTTTTTCCACGTAAACACTTTCGCGTTGGCGGTAACACGCTGGCGTCGCATGTCGGGTGCTCGGAACTCGAACCCCTGCACAGTCATTGGATATGCACTGCTGATGAGCTCTCATTAAAATAAAACTCGAGTCCAGTGCTTTCTCCCTTTGATGTGGACTCATCAGAACGATGCGGGAGGTGGTCAAAAACCTCGCAGGCTTCGATTGGTAGAATTGCTTCCTCGATACTTCGACATCAGTTGTACTCAGAAGCAAAAGATTTAAACAAACAAGAAAATTGACTTCCACCCCACTCGCCAAAATGCGTTCCGAAACACACTTGTGCGTCTTTTACCTTCCAGGTTGCATACAAACTTGTTCAAAGTTTTCTACACCGTACTTGCCATAATAAATTCCTTCCCGAAAGGCTTTTTAATTGGACCACATCTTTAGATTTCATCAACTGTTGGAGCATGCATACCCACACTCTACAATTTTGATGTTCCTTGACTTCAAGATATCGTTATTCACAAGATAATGAGGTCTATCCAGAACCCCGGTATTCACACCCTCCGAATGAGAACCTTATCGACACTGTTCTCATCATTGAAAAGGAACCGGAATCCCAAGCGATATTTGAAATGCTGACCGTTCTCGTGGTATGTTCTGGGCGCCCATAAAGTGCAAAGTCAAGCAGCGGGATGAACAGTCTTTGAACAACTCTTTAAGGCTTAACTTAATAGTTGCATTTGTTCTGATGGCACACGAGATCAACGCAGTGTCATCTGAATTTCGACACAGCAAAGTACTTAAACGTACACCATTGTCACAGACTTCACAAATGGCGCATTACGGACTTTTAGCGGATGAAGTCTTCCCTGAAGGTTGAATTATGGACTTGCAAACTTCTAAATCAGCTGGTTGACCTTGTCAAGAGAGCGGGAACTGAAAGTGTAAAACGTGAAACATGGTTTTCTGCGAAACGTTTGTGTTCTACCGTGTCGAGAAAAGCGCGCAGCTCGAGCGGAAAGTAATTCGGAGGTCAGCAGTGACAAAGTATCAAGAACGCTTCATTCTGAGGAGTGAAAAGTGCTCGTGACCTTTGTCCAGTCGAGTCACTGAACGGAGATAAAATACCAACAGAAAAAAACGTTTTAGCGGTTAAATTCTACACTAAAAATAAAACGGGTGTTCAATCATGGACAAAGGCTTTTGAAACACGACGGTTAACTAGCCTAGTCTCAGAATCGCACTGTGTGTCTACCGATTCGAACCAACTAAGGAAAAAGGCATAAAAACCCAAGGTAAAACTGTCAGAGTTTTGATATTTTGTCAGGTAGTTCAAAGACGCTATTTTGGTGCTGAATCGTGTACTACATTGGCGGTTTACGACGGACTAGACGCACTTATTCCGGATTGTCGCTCGTATACTACTTTAAAAAATAGATTAACAGATAATAATCCGGTCGGCCCAGAGAGTCTAGACATACGTCACCCGACCTTTGTGGAACATAAGTCCCAACTATCGTGAAGTAACGATCCTTTCAAAAAAGCGAAAAAAACGCGTGTCGTACAAGACATTGT